TCTCCACTGACCTCCAATGTAAGGGGGCACGTCTCCACTGACCTCCAATGTAAGGGGGCACGTCTCCACTGACCTCCAATGTAAGGGGGCACGTCTCCACTGACCTCCAATGTAAGGGGGCACGTCTCCACTGACCTCCAATGTAAGGGGGCACGTCTCCACTGACCTCCAATGTAAGGGGGCACGTCTCCACTGACCTCCAATGTAAGGGGGCACGTCTCCACTGACCTCCAATGTAAGGGGGCACGTCTCCACTGACCTCCAATGTAAGGGGGCACGTCTCCACTGACCTCCAATGTAAGGGGGCACGTTTCCACTGACCTCCAATGTAAGGGGGAACGTCTCCACTGACCTCCAATGTAAGAGGCACTTCTCCACTGACCTCCAATGTATGGAAGCACATCAGCACTGACCTCCAATGTAAGGGGGAATGTCTCCACTGACCTCTAACGTATGGGGGCACATCTCTACTGACCTCTAACGTAAGGGAGCACGTCTCCACTGACCTACAATGTAAGGGGGCACATCTCCACTGACCTCTAATGTAAGGGAGCACGTGTCCACTTACCTACAATGTAAGGGGGCACGTCTCCACTGGCCTACAATGTAAGGGGGCACGTCTCCACTGACCTCCAATGTAAGGGGGCATGTCTCCACTGACCTCCAATGTAAGGGGGCACATCTCCACTGACCTCTAATGTAAGGGAGCACGTGTCCACTGACCTACAGTGTAAGGGGGCACGTCTCCACTGACCTCTAATGTACGGGAGCACGTGTCCACTGACCTCCAATGTAAGGGAGCACGTCTCCACTGACCTCCAATGTAAGAGGGCACGTCTCCACTGGCCTACAATGTGAGGGGGCACATCTCCACTGACCTCTAATGTAAGGGAGCACGTGTCCACTGACCTACAATGTATGGGGGCACGTCTCCACTGACCTCCAATGTAAGGGGGCACGTCTCCACTGGCCTACAATGTGAGGGGGCACATCTCCACTGACCTCTAATGTAAGGGAGCACGTGTCCACTGACCTACAATGTAAGGGGGCACATCTCCACTGACCTGCATTGTATGGGGGCATGTCTCCTCTGACCTCCAATGTATGGGGGCATGTCTCCTCTGACCTCCAATGTAAGGGAGCACATCTCCACTGACCTCCAATGTAAGGGGGCATGTCTCCACTGACCTCCAATGTATGGGGGCACGTCTCCACTGACCTCCAATGTAAGGGTGCATGTCTCCACTGACCTCCAATGTATGGGGACACGTCTCCAGTGACCTCCAATGTAAGGGGGCATGTCTCCACTGACCTCCAATGTATGGGGACACGTCTCCAGTGACCTCCAGTGAAAGGGCACTTCTTCACTGACCACCAATGTAACAAGTCACTTGTTTACTGATCTCCAATGTAATGGGACACTTCTTCAGTGACCTTCCATGAAAGGAGGCACTTCTCAACTGACCACCGATACATACGGGAGCCTTTCACCACTGACCACCAAATTGAGGATTACTACATTTTTTACTTTGTCTTTTATTATTATTAAATTTGATTAATTTCATTACTATGACTGAAGATAATTTTGTCATACAGAAAAGCGCTGGGTGTCAGATAAGTCAATTATACCGCATTATTTCTTCTTCGATATCAACTCAATGTTCATACTAATGGCCTGCAATCTGCTGATATAGTAATGATTAGCAGCGGGTTCCCTGAGACCTGAAAGTTATTTCAAGGGTTCCTCCATGTTAAAAAGATTGAGAAAGTCGAGACCTCCAATGTATGGAAGCACATCAGCACTGACCTCCAATGTAAGGGGGAATGTCTCCACTGACCTCTAACGTATGGGGGCACATCTCTACTGACCTCTAACGTAAGGGGGCACATCTCCACTGACCTCTAATGTAAGGGAGCACGTGTCCACTTACCTACAATGTAAGGGGGCACGTCTCCACTGGCCTACAATGTAAGGGGGCACGTCTCCACTGACCTCCAATGTAAGGGGGCATGTCTCCACTGACCTCCAATGTAAGGGGGCACATCTCCACTGACCTCTAATGTAAGGGAGCACGTGTCCACTGACCTACAGTGTAAGGGGGCACGTCTCCACTGACCTCTAATGTACGGGAGCACGTGTCCACTGACCTCCAATGTAAGGGAGCACGTCTCCACTGACCTCCAATGTAAGAGGGCACGTCTCCACTGGCCTACAATGTGAGGGGGCACATCTCCACTGACCTCTAATGTAAGGGAGCACGTGTCCACTGACCTACAATGTATGGGGGCACGTCTCCACTGACCTCCAATGTAAGGGGGCACATCTCCACTGACCTCTAATGTAAGGGAGCACGTGTCCACTGACCTACAATGTAAGGGGGCACATCTCCACTGACCTGCATTGTATGGGGGCATGTCTCCTCTGACCTCCAATGTATGGGGGCATGTCTCCTCTGACCTCCAATGTAAGGGAGCACATCTCCACTGACCTCCAATGTAAGGGGGCATGTCTCCACTGACCTCCAATGTATGGGGGCACGTCTCCACTGACCTCCAATGTAAGGGGGCATGTCTCCACTGACCTCCAATGTATGGGGGCAGGTCTCCACTGACCTCCAATGTAAGGGTGCATGTCTCCACTGACCTCCAATGTATGGGGACACGTCTCCAGTGACCTCCAATGTAAGGGGGCATGTCTCCACTGACCTCCAATGTATGGGGACACGTCTCCAGTGACCTCCAGTGAAAGGGCACTTCTTCACTGACCACCAATGTAACAAGTCACTTGTTTACTGATCTCCAATGTAATGGGACACTTCTTCAGTGACCTTCCATGAAAGGAGGCACTTCTCAACTGACCACCGATACATACGGGAGCCTTTCACCACTGACCACCAAATTGAGGATTACTACATTTTTTACTTTGTCTTTTATTATTATTAAATTTGATTAATTTCATTACTATGACTGAAGATAATTTTGTCATACAGAAAAGCGCTGGGTGTCAGATAAGTCAATTATACCGCATTATTTCTTCTTCGATATCAACTCAATGTTCATACTAATGTCCTGCAATCTGCTGATATAGTAATGATTAGCAGCGGGTTCCCTGAGACCTGAAAGTTATTTCAAGGGTTCCTCCATGTTAAAAAGATTGAGAAAGTCGGGGCTAGTGAACTGTCCACTTCCCGAGGACAACAGATGGCTTCTCCTGACACATGGCAGACCCGCTAGGACCTAGGTCTAGGTCTTCTACTGGCCCAATATTATGTGCAGATCTCAGTCATGTTCTCTTTTCTTTACAGGAAAGGTCGTGAATGGCTGACACCAGAGGTTTCCAACAGAAAGGTCACCGCATGGTCTCACCCTCGTCACCCTACATTTCCTAATGTACGCTTGAATCTGATGTGATAAGTGAGGTCCACTGATTTTCTTTACTTACCCAGAATCCTCCTTTGCTTTCCTCTTCTGCTTGCAGCTTGGGGGCGGGAATTCAGGATCCGGCGTTGGGATGTCAGTTCGCCTCTTCTTTTGGCGGTGCTGCAATTTGCACTTGGTGCCATCCGGACAGGTGCCGCTCCGGGAGTAGTGCGGGCACAGCAACGTGTGCTTCTTCTTACACTGTGGGGACACAGATGTGATTACTGCAAACACATAATGAACACAGGTGTACAGACCTGGGAACTCAGCACAGGGATGGGGGGAGCTCCTCATAATGGGCACAGCAGGTGTACAGACCCAGGAACTCAGCACAGGGATGGGGGGAGCTCCTCATAATGGGCACAGCAGGTGTACAGACCCAGGAACTCAGCACAGGGATGGGGGGAGCTCCTCATAATGGGCACAGCAGGTGTACAGACCCAGGAACTCAGCACAGGGATGGGGGGAGCTCCTCATAATGGGCACAGCAGGTGTACAGACCCAGGAACTCAGCACAGGGATGGGGGGAGCTCCTCATAATGGGCACAGCAGGTGTACAGACCCAGGAACTCAGCACAGGGATGGGGGGAGCTCCTCATAATGGGCACAGCAGGTGTACAGACCCAGGAACTCAGCACAGGGATGGGGGGAGCTCCTCATAATGGGCACAGCAGGTGTACAGACCCAGGAACTCAGCACAGGGATGGGGGGAGCTCCTCATAATGGGCACAGCAGGTGTACAGACCCAGGAACTCAGCACAGGGATGGGGGGAGCTCCTCATAATGGGCACAGCAGGTGTACAGACCCAGGAACTCAGCACAGGGATGGGGGGAGCTCCTCATAATGGGCACAGCAGGTGTACAGACCCAGGAACTCAGCACAGGGATGGGGGGAGCTCCTCATAATGGGCACAGCAGGTGTACAGACCCAGGAACTCAGCACAGGGATGGGGGGAGCTCCTCATAATGGGCACAGCAGGTGTACAGACCCAGGAACTCAGCACAGGGATGGGGGGAGCTCCTCATAATGGGCACAGCAGGTGTACAGACCCAGGAACTCAGCACAGGGATGGGGGGAGCTCCTCATAATGGACACAGCAGGTGTACAGACCCGGGATCTCAGTAGTGGAGTCCTTGGAGTCTATGACACAATGATGGGGTTAATGATCCAGAGAGGATCCCGGGACTAGTTACTCATAACCTGAATTCGCCAAACTTCTCACGTCCCTGTAATATTAGGCTTTGCCATGTGGAGGAGGAGCGGACAAACAACAAAAATAAATAAATCTTACCCCAGAAGCTCAGCAAGTGCTGAAACCATTTCAAATGTGATTGATTACGTTTTAATTATTTAATTAGTGTAAGACATCTATCAGCTTAGTCAGGGGAGGCTCCGGCCAAAACGCCGAGAAGAGATTCCTGCCAGATGTCTTCATTAATAGCACAGCGACGCCTCAGCCAAATACTCTCATGTATAAAAATATGGCTCTTCTAGAGCAGAACGTGCACTACTGGCCAAGGGCTACAGGGACCAGGAGAGGCTCGTTCATCCTGACTATAGGAGAAGGGAGCCAGGGGGTCACCACTTGGAGGAATGAGAAAGAAAGAAAAAGAAAGAATGCGAGACACTGGAGGCTGGACATAATCCGAGGAGCTGTGTGGCTACTTCTGGCATGGATTAAAGTCTCTGTAAACCCCACCAATCAAATTCTCTTTTTTGCTCCCTTTTGGTTTGTTAAATCTGATCTCCGTCCTTGCCTTCAGTCTTCTATGTGACCTCCGTCCTTCCCTTCAGTCTTCTCTCTGGCCTCCGTCCTTCCCTTCAGTCTTCTATCTGACTTCCGTCCTTCCCTTCAGTCTTCTATCTGACTTCCGTCCTTCCCTTCAATCTTCTATCTGACCTCCGTCCCTCCCTTCAGTCTTCTATCTGACCTCCGTCCTTCCCTTCAGTCTTCTATCTGACCTCCGTCCTTCCCTTCAGTCTTCTATCTGACCTCCGTTCTCCCCTTCAATCTTCTATTTGACCTCCGTCCTTCCCTTCAATCTTCTATCTGACTTCCGTCCTTCCCTTCAGTCTTCTATCTGACATCTGTCCTTCCCTTCAGTCTTATATCTGATCTCCGTCCTTCCCTTCAGTCTTCTATCTGACCTCCGTCCTCCCCTTCAGTCTTCTATCTGACCTCCGGCCTTCCCTTCAGTCTTCTATCTGACCTCCGTCCTTCCCTTCAGTCTTCTATCTGACCCACGTCCTTCCCTTCAGTCTTCTATCTGACCTCCGTCCTTCTCTTCAGTCTTCTATCTGACCTCCATCCTTCCCTTCAGTCTTCTATCTGACCTCTGTCTTGCACAGTTGTGCCGGCTCCTCTCCTGGATTGAACTTGCTTACTCTGTGAGAAGCTCCCAGTGTGCAGTAAAATCAATGTGCATTAGAATTTGCAGCAAAGCAGATAGAGCCTCATTTCCTGGCTGGTGGACTCAAAGTATCATCTAGTGCTTTACTTCCCAGCCTGACTGTCCCTGGCTCCGCCCCTTTCATTCATTGCTTTTCAGTTCTTGGAGGGTCACATGTAGGCATTACCTGTGGTCTGCAAGCAAATGAAACCTGACTAGGAACTAGTGTTCAACAGACAGGCAGAAACCTCCAAACTCTACCATGGAGGAGCTACACATATGGGCCAATCATGTCCCCCTCCAGTGTACAGATACAAGTGAAACCATACACGATTACAGTGGTAGGCAACTTGGGATCAGTGGAGACTGAGAACAGCAAACCAAAAACCGCTAGGTGTCAGGCAGGGTAGGGCCAAGGGGTAGGTAGAGAGGTGGCTGCCTTGGCTGCTTCAGCAGAAGGCAGAAAAAATGGCAGCACATTAAACCTTTGCTGTTCTATTCATAGTTCATGGAAGGGGGGAGAGCACACGTAGGGTGGCACACTGCTAAAATAATCTTGTCCCAGCATGCAAGCAAAAGTGCCACCGGTACACCATATACAATCTACTTCCAAAGTTTGTGGACTTCTGACCTTCACAGCTACATGAGGTTGCATGACATCCCATTTCACAACCATGGCCCATAATATGGAGTTGACCACCTAGGTGGCTGTAACAAACTCCACACTTCACACTTATATAAGCTTGTTGGACATCCCATTCAATAACCATGAACATTATTATGAAGTTGCCTCCTTTGTGGCTATACCATCCTCTACTCCTCTGGGAAGGCTTTCCACCAGATTTTGGAGGGTGTCTGTGGGAATGTGACCCATTTGTGAGGTCAGGTACTGATGTAGGATGAGAAGACCTGGCTCACAATCGGTGTTCCAATTCATCCCAAAGGTGTTCAGCAGGAGTGTTGAGGTCAGGGCTCTGTGCAGGACACTCGAGTTCCTTCACACCAAACTGGTCACACCGTGTCTTTATGGAGCTGGCTTTGTACACAGGGGACAGTCATGGTGGGACAGAAAAGGGCCTTCACCAAACTGGTCACACCATGTCTTCATGGAGCCGGCTTTGTACAAGGGGACAGTCATGGTGGAACAGAAAAGGGTCTTCACCAAACTGGTCACACCATGTCTTCATGGAGCCGGCTTTGCACACAGGGGACAGTCATGGTGGAACAGAAAAGGGTCTTCACCAAACTGGTCACCCCATGTCTTTATGGAGCTGGCTTTGTACAAGGGGACAGTCACGGTGGAACAGAAAAGGGTCTTCACCAAACTGGTCACACCATGTCCTTATGGAGCTGGCTTTGTATAAAGGGGACAGTCATGGAGGAACAGAAAAGGGTCTTCACCAAACCACAAGGTTGGAAGAGCACAATTGTCTACAATGTCTTTGTATGCTGTAGCATCAACAGGACCAGCCACGGGAAACACCTGAACTCTATCATTTGAAGGGGGGTCCACTTACCCTTGGCCATGTAGTGTGGGCGTGATGGTGAAGGGACTTCAAACTTTTGGCCATATAGTGTATAAGCAAAAAAAAAAAAAGATGATTTGAAGTGCAGGATAAGACATAGTCCAATGAAGGCACAGGTCACATGCTGTTTGATGAATAACATGGGTGGCATTGGGACTTCATGTGTTGTACACAAATGGAGTAGGAAATCACGAGCAGTCCACTCCGCCGGGACGGGCAATGCCGCCTCCAACGCAAACTCAAAGTTCTCACTGATATTTGAATGTGACTGAAGAAGTTTATTAGGATAACTGTACATCTTTCACAAACTCATTCCGTCGTATAGGATGCATGCACTGCCCCTCCGAAGAGGGTTTTTTTCTACTCCACCGATACACCACGACATCTGTGCCGGGATACACGAGCTGCGTTGACAGCACCGGGCTACGACAGTTGCCCAGCTGGTCTTCCCGTGAAACATTTGTGCACACAGCAGGCACCGGAGAGGAAAGTGTTAACCAGAACATTAGCGGAAGAAAGTTAATGAAGGTGGGGGGTGTCATGGAGGGAAGCACCCGGCACCAGAAAGGATTTTGGTTCATGAAGGTTTAAAAGAAAGCGGGTGACAGTGGAAAGGAAGGCTGTGAACAGCACGGGAAGGGTTAATCAATCAGGTAGATCTACTGGGGACCAGAAATGGAAAGGGATGGTGGGAAGAAGGGGTTAATTGTGGCTGTTGGCATCAGAAAGAAAAAGAATCACACCAGGAAGGACAGGCACCACAGAGGGGTTCAGGAGAACATCTGGCCCCAGCAGGCCAGGACTTGTTACAGGTAAAGGGTCTGGCCGCTGACCAACCGGGAAATTAGAGTTAAGCCGGTCCTGAGAAGGAAGGGGTTAAAGATGAGGTAGCTGTGGAAGTGGCTAAAAAAGGAACTGGTACGGCCAGAAGGGCTCTGAAGGGTTAAAGGCGTCGGCGTTGCCAGGAAGCGCGGGCACAGCTGGCACCAGTAAGGGTGTTCGGGCAGCAACCTGCTCCCTGCTGCAATGCCATGTCACATAAGGTGAAGGGAGGAGGGGCCCGGCCTGTCAGGGGGGACTCATTCCTGAGGGTCACTCGATGCCTCCCACCTGTCGGAGGCAACTAATTATACACACTGCGGGATCCTAGCCAATCGGCAGGTTGGGCTGTAAAAACATAGAAGGGCCTGGACACAGGACAAGAGATGTGTACCACGCCCCCTCCCGGCCATTAACCCCTCACCTGCCGATAAAGGGCACAGGAGAAGTAACCCCTT